AAAAAGTTGGAACGAAATTCCGACTGAGTCGCACGGTTGCATGAAGAAAAAATTTGTGTCGGGTATAGCAAGAAGGGTTAGACTTTCTCTCAGGTGCAAGACCCGACTACTAGTTTATACACTTTCGACAGTGCAAATCCAAAAAAATTTATCGGAGTACTGAGTCGGCGGTGCAACACTAAAAGTTCGCTACCCAACAAAGACAAATGATTTTATTTATAAAATTGTCATTTGATGTGTAACATCAATGACGGGGGTTTGGAATGCCCAATTTCACACATTGGCGTTGCATTGTGTTGTGAGAACTGGTGAGGGTTCGAGTGAAAGTGCATGAGTGAGTCTCATTTTATTTCATGTCATGACATGGAATTCTTGTCGTTGAATGCATATTCTTTATGAGAGTGTTTTCAATGGTTGATTGTTGCATGTGAACATTTCATATGCATCTAGGTTAGGGAGTAGCCTCTTTAAGAGATATCCTATTGGGCGTGGCTCACCCTTTGTGAAAAAATATTTCAAGCGTATGGTTCATATCGGCGGACGGCTCCCGATTCGAGCCTCAAGGATAAAGAAGGCCGATTTGTGGCTTTTATGACTCATTTTGTATAACTTTTGTGAAAAATTCATTTTTGGTATGTAAATATATGGAATTGCTTGTAATAGAACTTGTCGTATCATGTTTCATGTGAAATTTTTCATTAAACATGTATTGAATGGTTATGGGATGGATTGAAAGTTATTGAAAATCAAAAACAGATGAAACAAACAAATTTGGGCAAAACCTACCAGCAGGTTTGAGCAAACCTACCGATAGATGTGGTCCAGTAGGCAAAACATACCGATAAAGCGTCACTTTTTTTGGGGTAGAATTTTTTCAGTAGGCAAAACCTACCAATGTGATGGTGACAAAGCTATTGGTAAGTTTTTTCAAAAATTTGAAATTTTAAGAATGTTGTGATATGCTTTTCGGGTCATGTGTCATTTTATTCAAATGATGTAAATGAACAATAATGGAGTATAAATGGTGGTATGTTGGATCTCGGATAGGTCATGTGAATAAATGTATACAGGATATGCATTTAGGAATGATCCTGGTAAAGAGGATGCTATTAACATAATGTCAAGTTGTGCAACGATTACAGGTACTTCCGCGGGTTGATGGTAATCAACAGTTGATAAAGAACCCTCAGTTTTAGGGGCGTCACAGACCTAACTTCGTAAAGGTTTCCACTTTATCAAAATTTGACTTCAGCAATGGAGAGAGAATTTGAACAAAGCTCAAAAGCATCATGAAACCTATTTTCAAGAGGAGAGAGAAAGAGAGAGGGAGAGAGTGCTCCAACATATGCAGCTCGATGAGATAAGGAGGTCACAACTCCTATCTTCCAATTCCAACATACACGTGTTGGCCTCTCCTAGCTTATGATAAGGGTTGGCTACATCAATGTGACTCCCACTGCAAATACTCTTGGCTATTGTACACCAAAACTCTTAAAGCTCAAGAATTTCAATACATCGAATGATATATGTAGCCTTTGCATGATCATTTTAGAGCTCTTTTAGAAGGAAATGGGGTGATCATGTTGTAGCTCTTGACAAGGTCGTCGACGATGAGAGATATCTTGAGTTAGGGAACTTTTTCATAAATTCTGGCCCTAGCTCAAATCATTCTCTCTAATTAAAAAGAAAATCTATAATATAAAACAGAAAAGACTTTAATAAGTTCATCCAACAGTCTCAAATAAACTCATTTAAGGGCCACCAGTATTTCTCTAAAAATCATTCAGATTGAATTTTACCATCATTTTCTCATTCTTCACTCTCTCTCTCTCTCTGTGGCAATGGCAGATAAAGGAGGGGTCTAGGACCACCCTAATATATTTTTTTTAGTTATATATGTTTATATATAGATATTTTGAATATTCTTAATTGGACCCACTGTAATGATTTATGAAAATGAAAATTAATTTGATCAAACAAGTTGGGTACTAGAACAAAAAAAAAAGTTCATACCAAATATGTTAAAATTAGCAAACTAAAATTGATTCCTTAAAATATTGGTAGAATTTATTGGACCTTCCTTTGGTTCAAAAATTATGAAATATATAGCCAAAAATGAGTAAAATATAGAATTTGTAAGAAGATTAAATATTATAGAATATTATTTTTATTTGTGTTAAATCTATAATTTTAAATAGGGCAGACTACAATAAGTTCATTCGATAGTATCAAATAGACTCATCTAATAGTCTTCAACATCCCTCTCAAAAACCATTCACATTAAATTTATACCCTCCTAAATTTATCACTTCTCATTTACGTTGCACCGTGTCTTCAGGCACGAGTTATCCCTAGTTTCATATATTGCAACAACGTGGTTAAACTCAGACAGTTCTCTAGTGAGATTAATCACATAAAAAAACAAGAAGAAATTGAATGAGTCAAAATAGATGTTCGTCGAAATTCGAAACAAAAACTCTAACAATCGGGTAACAAAAAACTATAAATATATGTTTGAAGAAAAACTAAGCAAAATTTCTAAGGCATCTAGAACTCTAGAGTTTGGAGACGGGTATCAAACAACTGGTGAAAACAAGATGGTTGAAGTTGTGTAGAAGACAGTGTTTTGTCATATAAAATACAAAAAATAATAATTTTGGACCACACAATGATATTTTAAGAAAAGGTTAATTACAAAATATTCCCTCGAAGTTTGGGTCATATTACAATTAACTCACTCAGGTTTCTATTTCGACAATTTGGCCCCTTAGAGTTTTTTAAGACTAAATTAATTGACTGAGAAAGTAAAAAATATGAAGTTCCTAAGATGTCCCTAACATCTAATTTTCTTTCTATCTACTCTTTGTACCTAACCCCATCCCAAGTTCGACATATGAATCCAACACACATCCCCAGCCCTAGCAATGCTCCCAACCCAAATGCTCAGCTTTGGTGGTGACCCAACCCTCTCCCCTTGCTCCGGCCTACTTTTGCTCCCCATGACCTATCCCAGCTCCGGTTATTCCTCACCCCATACTCAACACCATTATGCTCCGTTTGGTATGACGAAAAAATGGAAGGATAGAAAGTTGGAGGGATAAATAAAACATCATGTTTGGTAAGAAAGGAAAATAGGAATTATGAAAAAATTGATGGATTAACTTTCCTTCCAACTCACCAAAATCAATCCCTTCAAAATCAGAAGGAAAGTAGATGAAAAATTAATTATTTGTGTTGAGATGTATCTTATTTGTCTATATATTATATATACATTAATTTCTTATAAAAATAAAATGATAAAATATGTATTTATATATATATATAAAATAAAAATAAAAAATTTTAAATTAAAAAATATTTTTTCATCTTAATTGTGGGTGAAAATTTTTGACTCAACACGATGACACAACTCGAATTTGACACAAATTTTATGATATGAACTTGATTATAACTCGACACAAACTTAAAAATGACCTGACACGCGGACAAGAAATATAAAAGACTTATAATTTTATGACTCAACACGAATCTGACAAAACATTACTCGATTGTCACCCATAATATTAGAGAAAAAAAATTAAAAAAAAAATTGGTCATTTTTATTTTCCATCCATCCAACAAAACACAAAAAAATGAAAGTGTATCATTCCTACTTTCCATCTTTAAATGATCGAAAATGTATATTTCCTACTATCCATCATTTTTACCAAACAGAGCATTAGTATCCCCCATCCCCAAGGAAATCGAAAACCCACATCGGTAACCCTTCACCTATACTAGATAGGCAATCCCTCAAAACCCGATCCCTCCTCTGACAACCCCCCACCCTTATCAAACAAGTAAATCCAATAAACAAACACACAAATGCAAGTAAGGTCGAGTCAAGAAACAAGTCCCGTCGATTGCAAACACCAAAAATTTCTCCTCTTTTCCTCTTTTTTTCTGCTTCGACCATGGCACAACTACAAAAATTCTTTCTTTCTCTCTCTCTCTCTCTCGATGAGTGTTTCCTTGTAGAGGGTAGAATTCTTTTGGGGTTCGGTTGTTTGGGGACACCTACTAGGGGGGAAGGTTTCATTTTCATTGAGGGAGGGAGGGGAATAGGGGGTGGGGGTATGGATTGGGTTTTGGTTTCACTAGGGTGGGGAGGAGATTGGGTATCACCAGTTGAGGGAATGTTGGGTTTAATTGTGGTATGGGTTGGGTTTTGATTTCACTAGAGGGGGGAGGAGATTGGGTATCACCAATTGAGGGAAGGTTGGGTTTAACTAGAAGAGAGGAGGGATTTCAGTTGCTTGGGGGTGGAGATAGGTTTCACCGAAGGAGGATGGAGTTAGGTTTCATCGGAGGAACTTACCGACTTTTTGTATGGAGAAGTGAATTTTAAGTTTTTGAGGTTTTTTTTTACAACAAATATTGAGATAAAAGGTAGTAGTGGGCTTTTGATTATTTTTATGTCACATGAGACTTTCTTGATAAATTTCCATCATTTTTAATGGTGATCAGCTAACTGTAAGAGTTAATTGAAAATTATTCAAACATCAAGGGAGAAAATTGTCAAAATTGAAATTTGAGGGAGTTGATTGCAATATAATTTAAATTTGGAGGGAATATTTTGTAAGTAATCCATTAAGAAATATATTCTTGAAAACTTTAAAAACATGTGTTTACACCTATTGAATTAAAAGATATCTAGAATTTAGCCTTTTACCTGAATTTCTCTTAAATAATTTACATGGTAGGATTCATAGATAACTGTCAATATAACTTGATAAATTTGGGGATATATGCCTAAATTTGATGGAAACTGAAAGAATTTAAAAGTGGAACTCTCGGTCCCTATTAGTGCTGTCCGCACAGTGACACATTCCTAACCAATCTTCTCATTTTCCCCTTTTAAGTCATAGTGATTGACGTTTACAACCATCTAACCTTCTCATAATCTCATTCAATCTAATTGTCTCATAGACCTCAATAATAATCACAGAGATAATCAAACCATGGCTCAGCCACCTAAGATTGCCATTCTTGGAGCTGGCATCTTTGTAAGAACGCAATACATTCCCAGATTAGCTGAGATATCTGATCACTTGGTCCTCCAATCAATTTGGAGCCGCACTGAGGTACCCTTCCTCTTTTCTTGCATTTTCTTTGAAATCAAACATATAGGCTAAAAAAAAACATATAGGTTATGAGAAATTTATGTAATTGGAAATGGGTATGTTTTAATTTCTGTCTATGGGTATAGGAATCGGCTAGGAATGCCGTTGAGATTGCCAGGAAGACTTTCCAGGATGTGGAATGTAAATGGGGTGAGACGGGTCTTGATGAGATTATTCAAGATAGCTCCATCATTGGGGTTGCTGTGGTCCTTGCTGGACAAACTCAGGTCTCTCTCTCTCTTTCTCTCTCTTTGTGTATGTAAGTATACCCGTATAGAGCACTTGATTATGCATTGCGTGGTATATTACTATCAATGTCCCTGCTGAACTTGAGCTTAGCAGCTCTGAGAGCGTGTGCAGCTGGACCTGTGAGTATCATTTTGTTAGGATTAAATCTTTGATGAGAAGAGGGGGTTCTTAATGAAGAGATGTTTGTTTTGGTATGTCTAGCCTGAAACCAAAGGACCAGCTTTCAATGCTAATTTTAGCAATGTAAATGATTAATTGTAGCTTGAATTGCAAAAGTTGTGTCAAGGAAAACAGGATATCATAAGGAAGTTCTATCTTAATACCCACAGAACTTAATTAATGAATGCACAGGGATTTTTTGAAAACTTGTTCTTCAGCAGACACTTTTTGAAGTATATTTATCGATGTCAAAGCTTTCAATTCAAAACCAATTAGCAATAAGTGAATTGATCCAAGTGAAATGGTCCACAAGGCTCATACACTAGTTTATCAATTTGGGACAAGCTCCAATATTCCTTTGCATGCAATCTTCACTCGCATGTGGATAGATAAACAAAAGATTCAAAATACAGAAGCAAAATATAACAAAGTGCACTTATGACTTGAACAAAGGTAGAATTAATTACTATGAAATGTAGATTTTTGTCCCAAAGCCTTCTATAGCTTAGCTTAGCACCATAGTAAAACATTCAATTCAACATCAATTGACAATGAATGAAAATGCTCACAAGGCTCATATACTAATTTGGGAATTGTTATTTTATCGAGGTGGGACAAGCTCTAATAATGGGAATGTTGTAGACAGACTACCACAAGGCATTGCAACCTGTTTAATTTTAATATAAGGTGGTCTTAGAACTCATCACTATTCTTAGATTGAGTGCAGTGGGAGGGGTCATTTGGGGTTGAGTATGTAGGGTGGCTGGAAAGTGTATCAATAGACAAGTTTTTGGCATTACATGAAGGAAATACAAAGCAGCCAACAAGGATTTGAGGATTAGAATGCTAGAAAAAGAGAACATTTTAGGCTGTTCTAGGTACTGTGAACAATCCCTACGTTCAGCCAACAACAGGCCGGTTATGTTTTTTTAGGTTTTTTGGCTTGGTTGATTGAGATAAAGAAGGATGAGGGGTTATCGAAATGGGGTTATAGGCGTAGGAAAGGTATATTTGACTTCTATTGCTTCGGTGTTGAAACAAAAAATCCTAAACCAAAACATATATGCTACTCAGTAATTCCCTTTTTTTTTTGGTTATTACGACACAAATTAACTAGAAATTCTATTTAACCACCATTTTGAATAAGCATTTTCCTGTTTCCTCTTGCTCCTTGATCAGTGCATTTCATTGGTTCATGTTAGATCTCAACTCAGATAAAGTCATATGTAAACCTGAATTTTCAAGAAAATTGTGAAACTTCAAAAACTACCAGACAAAGGGTAAAGGAATTAGAAGTATAAAGAAAGCAATAGAGGTTTCTAGTGAACCATAACGGAAGATCTGACTTCTTTTTGAGAAAAGTATGCCCCGTAGATCCTATGTACTTTCCCTTTTAGCTAGGAAATACGGTTACGGAGACGGGTGTCGTATTCACGGATACAGACACAAGGATATGACTTAGGTCAAAAATATAGGACACGGGTACAATAAAGATCCGACTAATTATAATAATTTTTTAGATAATAATAGAATTGTAATATATTAAGAATAAAACATTTTATAACAATATTAATAATAAATTCGAGCAAATATTAATTTTTTGATTAAAATTGAAATTGATTAAAAAAAATCCACCATTCTTATCAAACATCAATACATCCATTAACATTCATAGTCCATAAATCACATAACAAAAAACACACAAAGAAAATAAAGTAATCTTACACCCCTCTTAATAGTTAACAATGGTGAGGTTGAAAAACAAAATGGTTGTATCATGGTCATGTGTTGGATTTATCCTGGTCGTGTCCATCTGAATTTGCTGAGATACTTCTAGCCATGTTGGACATGTGTCCGACACTGCCAGGGCACCCCCGGACAAGTATTCGTGCTTCCTAGCCTTTTAGTTATCCCCTTCACTGTACTCTGTTAAAATGGCTCTTATTGGACAAATATACTATGTTTAACATTCTCTTTACATGGGAACCAATTCATGCAGGTGGATATGTCACTGAGACTGCTGAAAGCCGGAAAGCATGTTCTTCAAGGTGATTGCATTTTAGTTAACTATCATCAATGGCTGTAGGCTCCCGGAATTTCTTCAAAGAATTCCAGAAAATATCTATCAATATACCCTTTTTGGTATATTCTTAGAAAAAAAGTTCCCTTCCACTCGTATGCTTGCATTGTTATAATAATTCAGTGGCTGGATCCAATGATTTAATAAATGTCGCTCTTACAATGTGCATAATAGTCCCTGTGCATTGANTTTTATAATAATTCAGTGGCTGGATCCAATGATTTAATAAATGTCGCTCTTACATTGTGCATAATAGTCCCTGTGCATTGAACTAACAGTTATTATGTTTGTGCATGCCTTTTGTGTTGCTTGGCCAAAATTGCGGGTCTAAAGAGAAACCAGCTACAGCATGTAAGTATAATACTGTTTCTATTCTATAATTTTTTTCACTAGGATATATCCGAATTATAAATTATGACATGAATTGAGAATTGTACTTCTCCCTGTTCTTAGGTTTTTAAGGAGGTTCTACCTTCCAAAAACAGTTGGTATATAATAATCGTAGTTTATAGGATTTGTAAAGAAGAGGAGAGAAAAAGAGGAAAAGAGAATTCTTCCAGAAAGACTAGAATGGTCGAATTTTCATTTCTACAATTCTTTCTGTTTATACCACTAATAACATCTCAAAAGGTTGTACTACTAATAACATCAAGAAATTACAAGATCCAAATTTTCCAGATATTCTAACACTCTACAAGTTGGGTGTATTAAATATTACACATGCCCAGCTAGTCTAAAATACTATGGAACACCTTGCTCGACACACACTTAGGTCAATACATCAACCACTTATTTCTTGGTCTTCACAATTAGATTGCAGACAAGACTTGAGCTTAGTTTTCTCTTTAATGACACGTGTTTCTATTTCAGTATGTTTGGTTCAATCATATTGAACTAACATTACCTGCAATATTCATGAGCTTTTTGTTGTGAGAATATTTGTCTCATTGGACNTTTCAGTATGTTTGGTTCAATCATATTGAACTAACATTACCTGCAATATTCATGAGCTTTTTGTTGTGAGAATATTTGTCTCATTGGACAAAATTTAAAACCAAAAAATCTCATACACTTCAAACTCTATTAAATATCTCAAACCAAACTATATGAGATAGTTTTAGTCCATAAAATAACTTCTTCAAATTATAAATCTTTCCTTCAGAAGATAGGAAAGTGAGGAACATACGCACACAATAACTCTTCCAAAAATGAAGGCATTTTTTACCTAGTTGTTGATGAGACCATCCCGATTTTCCTGCCAAGAATGGAAAAACTCTTAATGGAATTCATCTTAGCCACTGGTGCAAAGGTTTTTTGATTATCAATGTCATAGGTTAGGGTAAAAGCCTTGACCACCAATCTAGCTTTACACAACTCCACATATCTATCTGATTTATACTTCATAGTAAATACTCATTTGCACCCAACTTTTCTCTTTCCTCTGAGAAGAATTTCTCTGTTGTCTGCATCTTGTTTCTCCTTATCCAACTCATCGGGTGAGGATTGATAGACAGTGATGTTAGATTGAGATAAACCTGGAGGATCAAGGAAGTAGGAGATAGAGAATTAGACGATAACTCCTAAAATCAATCTCACCCTGAAGAGTAATCTTCAGACCAGGAAAATAGGATATGCACTTTAAAAGGCAACATCAATTAGACAAAGTGTCGCCAGTTAGGACGCTGGACAGACCGATACCAGTTTTGCATGGGATGGTAACCCAATAAGATATATTTCAAGGCTTGAAATCAAGTTTGTCCCTAGACGCACGATGGACACCCCAAAAAAAAAAACAGATACAACTGAACACGAATGGGAATGGGGGAATACATCTACTTATTTCTATTGCTATCTAGAACTTAATACACTGATCTAATTAACCTGCTGCAAGCCCTACTGTCTCAACAAGGACCTTTTCCCTACTGTCGTCTCTCAGATAGAAATGGTTTCTGCTCCAGTCCTTTCTAAGTCTTTTGATAACTATTTTCCCACCTTACACTAAATCTTGCTCTCCATTCCCTCTCTTGTACATCTCTGACTGTATGTATTCTTGTTTAGCTATAGGTAATGTTATCCTTAAGTTTTTCAGTTTAATTGGATTGAATAAGTCATTTTCATTTTCTTTAACTTTGTTTTTGGAAAGGGAAAACTTTCCCTTTACTTTACTTTATTACGTTTTCCACAGATAAAGAAAAAAGTAGATAAAACGACGGTGAAAAAGAATTAGGATGGTATAATGTTTTGCATTAACTTAACCCACTTTTTGCCATGTCTTCATCTTCTGAATTTATGAATGAATTACGTTTTGATGGAATTTGGTCTCAGTATCAGTGCTCTATTTATGCAGCCATTAGTGAGGCAGAAGCCGCACTGTCGTGCTATAATTCCATTTGCACCAACTCGCCTTGTAAACCAATTTGGGCAATTGCAGAAAATTATCGGTTTGAACCTGTTTTTGTGGAGGTAATTGATTTGGGTGTACTTGATTTTGTTTCGTTACCGTGGCTTGCTAGATAAGTTAATGTTTATTTCCCAGGGCAAAAAACTAATGGCCGAAATTGGAGATATGATGAACGTCCAACTTATTATTGAAGGATCGATGAATAGCACAAATCCTTATTTCTCAAGCTCTTGGAGGCGCAACTTTACTGTGAGTTTGAAATTTTTAGAATGATCACTTTTGGTTCATTTCTTTGAGCAAGGAACCATTAACAAGTATATGTTGATCAATTGAGTAACAGGCTATGTTATGTTGTTGCAGTAGGCACATTTTGTTGACATATGGATTTAATTATTTAATGCCAAAAATATATGTTACATTCTCAATAGTAGGAATATATCTCGAGTTTTTCCCTTGGTGATGATTTGCATGTTTACCAAGTCATAATCGTGTAGTTTTGTTCTTTTATCAGAGTTTCATTAACATGAATTCTGAGCTTTTAAGGGATTTATTTTGCATTATTTTCTGTTAATTTAATTTAGTATATTTTAATACCGTTGGCTAGACTGGCCTATCTTTATAGTGTTGTGCTGACATTTTTTCCTTTTTTGGCAGGGTGGTTTCATTCTAGATATGGGGGTACATTTCATTGCAGGTTTGAGGATGGTAAGTTTAGGTTTCTTCTTCTGCTTTATGGTAACGTAATTTTTGTTACTTAATGAATCATCTGCTACATGAACACGAAGTGTTGACTTTGATCTTCTGCATTTGTTATCTAAGTATATTAGTATTCGAAGAATCTGGAACCCTAAAACTTCATTGAGCAGCTAAATAAATCCAAACCTTAACTTATTTGGGAGCTAGAAAATCCAGTCAACACCACCTCAGTATAGATAACTGGAATCATTATGGTAAATATGGAAGAGCTTGTTTGGATGTGCTTAAGTTTGCAGCAGAGTATTGGACAGTGGTGGTGGATGACTGGATGTCGGTAGAGTGTAGGGGTGTTCAAATTTTTGATTGGCCGCAACTTTCTACCCTACCCTATCACACTTAACGACTAGCCGTAAATATTGGGTAGGAATGCGGAAGAGTTTTTGGTCTTCCGATTAAATCGGGTAGGAATGCGGAATACCCATCAATTTCCGCATTTCTATTTTACCCTACCCGCAAAAAATATATTTAACTTTTTTATATTTTTTTTAGTAATTATAAGAGTATTTGTATGGTATAATTTATAATATAATATTGTTATTGTTATGGATGTTTGAGTTGCTAAAATATGGACTTGTTTTTTGTGTAGGTTACATGATTTGTAGTAAACTAGTATTCTATTGGAGCAGTTATGATTTTAATGTGTTTCATATGGTTTAAACTTAAAATATTTGTTATTGTATTTGTGTAATAATTATGATGGATTGATGTTCATACTTCTTTGTGTTTTATTGTAATTGTTTTAGGTTTTAGTATTATTGATTTATTGTGTTGTTAAATTGGTGCATGTTATTTAATTGAATTATTCAAATGATCCAAAAATTAGTAGTTACAAAAGTGTTTACCTGATTTCCTACTCAAATAATCGGGTAGGAATACCACACTTGATCGGGTAAGGTAGGCCAAGAAAAAAAAAATTCGCAAAATATCGGGTAAGAAGACGAAAGACTAAATTTCCTACCCGTAAGGTAGGATGAACACCCCTAGTAGAGTGCATGTTCTATGTTCCAAGGGGATGAATTTCTGTAGACAATTTGTATAGCTGAAATGGAAAACCAACAATAATCTTAGCTTTAATCTCCAACTTGTGTGTTTAACACAGCATCTACATGAAAAAGATTTTGTTTGGAAAGGAAATAAAGTAAAAGAAAATAGCTCTACATCTCTGAATACAAACAAAAAACAAAGAAAAGTTTAGTATTTATTCTCTAGCCATAGATGGTATTAAGAATAATAGAGTAGTATGTGTAAATTGTTAATAGTAAGAGGATGTATATGTTATTATTATTATTGTAAGTTAACTATAAATACAAGTTATGTATGAGAGTTAGGTTAAGTTCTGAACCTCACCTCTCACTGTTTCTCCCAAAATATTGTCTCTAATATCATTATGTTAATCGTCCAAACGTAATATGGTATCAGAGCATTGCGATCCTAAATACAAATTTTAGTGTGAATTTGTGTTGGAAAAATTATCTTGGTTAGTGGTGTTACTGTTGGGGTGTCACTGTCGAAGTTCAGACATTGTGGTGGTGTGGTGGCTTCTACGGTGGTGTTGTGGTGGTATGGCTTCTGCGGGTAGTGATTAGTGGTGGTGTAGTGTGTGACGCCGTCGACGACCATTGACTGAAGTCTGGGAACACGCGTGGTGGTCTATATTACCTTGTTGCTGTGGTGCTGCGGTGGTGTAGTGTGTGACGCCGTTGAAGCCCAAGCAGGCCAGCCACTGTCGTTGTGGTGCTGCGGTGGTGTAGTGTGTTACGCCGTCAAAGACCAGGCAGGCCAGGCCACTATGTTACCCTAATTTTAATGAAGAAGAAATAGATCCAACAAGTTGGATCAAATCGGGTCAAGCCCAGCCCATTATTTTAAGTTCAACCCAAGATTCGGTCCAGCGCACCCGATTCAATCCGGTTCAACGGTCGAAAGCCTCTATCTTGTCCGGTTCAGTGGTCTAGAGCCTCTGTCCGGTCCGGTTCAGCGGTCCAGAGCCTCTATCCGGTCCGGTTCAGCAGTCCAGAGCCCCTATCCGGTCCGGTTCAACAGTCGAGGAGCTCTTTTCAGTCCGGTTCAGCATTCCAGAGCCCCTATCCGGTCCGGTTCAGCAGTCCAGGAGCTCTTTTTGGTCCGGTTCAGTCCTGCAACACTTCTTATTTGCTATTTGCTGCATTATTATGGAACCTAAAAATCCCATGTTGCTTCCTCCTACTCTTATTAATGGTCCCATGACTTCTGTTAAACTCAATGGGACTAATTATACTTTATGGTCCCGATCTGTTCAAGTCTTTCTTCGAGGCAAAGGATTTAAGAAATATCTAGTGGGTTCTAAACCCAGGAGGACACTCCTGGGTATGATCAGTGGGAACAAGAGGATGCTCAGATTATTTCTTTAATGTTAAATAGCATAGAGTNAACCTCACCTCTCACTGTTTCTCCCAAAATATTGTCTCTAATATCATTATGTTAATCGTCCAAACGTAATATGGTATCAGAGCATTGCGATCCTAAATACAAATTTTAGTGTGAATTTGTGTTGGAAAAATTATCTTGGTTANATAGCATAGAGCCTAGTATTAGCTCTTCTCTGCTCTATCTTGATACTACTAAAGAGATATGGGATCACTTGGCCACTATGTATTCTGGTACAGGTAATTTTACCCGTGCGTATAAGGTGTGCAAGGAGTACTTCCGGTTGGAGCAGAANCAGACATTGTGGTGGTGTGGTGGCTTCTACGGTGGTGTTGTGGTGGTATGGCTTCTGCGGGTAGTGATTAGTGGTGGTGTAGTGTGTGACGCCGTCGACGACCATTGACTGAAGTCTGGGAACACGCGTGGTGGTCTATATTACCTTGTTGCTGTGGTGCTGCGGTGGTGTAGTGTGTGACGCCGTTGAAGCCCAAGCAGGCCAGCCACTGTCGTTGTGGTGCTGCGGTGGTGTAGTGTGTTACGCCGTCAAAGACCAGGCAGGCCAGGCCACTATGTTACCCTAATTTTAATGAAGAAGAAATAGATCCAACAANCGTATGAGGTGTGCAAGGAGTACTTCCGGTTGGAGCAGAGTACTTTAAGCCTTGCAGATTATTACTCTCATGTTCGGGGAGTCTGTGAGGAGATAAAAACTTACCATCCGTTTACTACTGATGCAGCAGTTTGGCAAAAAGCAATATGAGGACCTGAATGTTGTTCGATTTTTGGTAGGATTGAAACTTGAATATGAGGCTATTCGTTCTCAGATTTTGGGTGGATCTAGTCTTCCATCACTGCTGGAGGTTTTCTCTCGTTTACAGCAAGCTACACTGTCTANGGGTCAAGCCCAGCCCATTATTTTAAGTTCAACCCAAGATTCGGTCCAGCGCACCCGATTCAATCCGGTTCAACGGTCGAAAGCCTCTATCTTGTCCGGTTCAGTGGTCTAGAGCCTCTGTCCGGTCCGGTTCAGCGGTCCAGNATAGTGATGGTCATCGAGGTGGACGTGGTGGTCGTGGAGGTCGTAGTGGATCCCGTTCCTGTACTCACTGTGGCCGTGGAGGACACATTGTTGATTTCTGTTGGGATTTACATGAAAAACCTTCTGGTACGGCTAATCAGGCTTCTTATCAGGATGACACCTCTGTTGTTGCTTCCATACCTCGGTCAGCTCTACCTGGGTCGGTTACTATTACATTGGGTCGAGAGGAGTATGCTCAGTTCCTGTCCCAGCAACAAGCTGTTTCATCTCCCTCCACTACTACTTTTGCCCAGTCAGGTACTGCTTCCACCTGTTTATTGTCCTCCACCCGCAGTCCTTGGATCATAGATTCTGGTGTCTCTAACCACATGATTGGTGCGTCTGACGTTTTCTCTACTTATCAGTCTGCTACTTCCACACGTAGTGTTACTCTTGCTAATGGTACTTGTTCTAGAGTTTCAAGTCTGGGGACTACTCACTTGAGTCCTGATATGTCCCTATCTTCCGTGTTATTTGTTCCTCAGTTTCCTTTTAGTTTACTTTCCATTAGCAAGATTACCTGTTCTCTCAACTGTTCTGTAATTTTTTATCCCTCTTATTGTGTCTTTCAGGATCTCAAGACGAAGAGGAAAATTGGTACGGGGCATGAAGCTGGTGGCCTATATTACCTTGACTTTGATTCATCTACCCGAGCTTTACAGACCTCGTTGTCTTCTTTTCAATGGCATTGTCGTCTTGGACATCCTTTTCTCCAGAACTAAAGCGTCAAGTTTCCAGTCTTAGTTATGTGTCGTCTTTATCTTGTGAAGCTTGTCAACTTAGTAAGCATCACCGTGTGTCATTTCAGTCTAGAGTCAATAATCGTGTGTCTAGTCCATTCTGATGTATGGGGTCCAATAAAGAATATTTCGTCTAATAAATATCCTTATTTTGTAACATTTGTGGATGACTATTCTCGTGTGACTTGGTTATTTTTGATGAAAGCTCGGTCTGAATTATTCTCTATATTTGAAATTTTTCGTAAAGAAATAAAAACTCAGTTTGGTTGTCATATTCATACTTTACGTTCCGATAATGCTCGTGAATATGAATCTGATCTTTTTTCAGCTTATCTTAGTAAAATTGACATTTTTCATCAGACTTCTTGTGCTTACACTTCTCCACAAAATGATGTTGCTGAACGCAAGAACCGTCATTTGTTGGAAGTCACCCGTGCCTTGTTATTCCAGATGAATGTTCTCCGATATCATTGGAGTGATGTTGTTCTTACTACTTGTCATCTTATTAATCGTATGCCCTCCTCTGTGTTAAATGGACAAAGTCCATATTCTATTCTGTTTCCTAGTAAGCTCTTATTTTCCCTTACTCTTAAGGTTTTTGGTTGTGTCTGTTATGTTCATAATTTGGGTCCTGAAGTTGACAAACTTGATCCTCGCCCTACCAAATTTGTTTTTTTTGGTTACTCCCGCACAAAGAAGGGGTATCGTTGTTACAGTCCCTCTCTGCACCAATATTTTACTAGTACGGATGTCACATTTGAAGAATTTGTTCCATACTTTCCAACACCATCTCAGCCTTTGGATCTGGACTTTGGCTTCTCTCCTGTACCACCATCAGATATTCCGCTGCCCACTGTGTTACCATTTACTTTACCTCTCCGTGTCTATTCTCGCCGTCCTCGCCCATTGACTGAAGTGTCCGTACCGTCTTCCTTATCGCCTTCTGATCCAGGAACATCAGGTAATTTAGATTCTTTACTTATTGCTCTTCGCAAAGGTACTCGTTCGTGTGTTACTAATCATCCCATTTCTCATTTTGTTTCATATGATGCCTTTTCACCTGTTTTCTCCTGTTTTACTTCCCAATTATCTGCTATATTTATTCCTAAGCATTTACAGGATGCATTATCTGATCCGGGTTAGAAGAAAGCTATGGAGGAGGAGATGGATGCCTTACATCATAATGGGACTTGGGATCTCGTTCCTTTACCCTCTGGTAAACGAACTGTTGGATGTCGTTGGGTGTATACTGTTAAATTTCATCCAGATGGTTCTGTGGAGCGTCTCAAAGCCCGGCTTGCTGCAAAGAGCTTTACTCAGACTTATGGTGTTGATTATGAGGAGACTTTTTCTCCTGTTGCCAAAATTTCATCTGTTCGTCTCTTGATTTCTTTGGCTACTAATCTTGACTGGCCCTTGTTTCAGTTAGATGTCAAGAATGCCTTCTTACATGGTGATTTGGTTGAAGAGGTCTACATGGAGCAGCCACCTGGGTTTACTGCTCAAGGGAAGTATGGTAAAAGTGAGAGTGTATGTCGGTTAAAAAAATCTTTGTATGGTTTAAAGTAGTCACCGAGGGCATGGTTTGGTAAGTTTTCAAATGCAGTTTTAGAGTTTGGTCTTCTTCGATGTCAAACAGATCATTTTGTGTTTCATAGGCACACAGATGCTGGGTATGTCCTATTAGTGGTCTATGTCGATGATATTGTGATTACTGGAAATGATTCTGAGGGGATTGCCAAGTTAAAATTATTTTTACAGGATCGATTTCATACTAAGAATTTGAAAAAACTTAGGTATTTTTTGGGTATTGAGGTGGCTCGATCTAAACAAAGTATTTATTTATCTCAAAGGAAATATGTACTTGACATGCTTGAGAAAGCAGGTTTGCTGGGTGGTAAACCGATTGATGTCCCTATAGATCCGAATCAAAAATTATTGATGGATGATGGTGTATTGTTTGAGAATCCGGGTCGGTATCGTAGATTGGTTGGGAAGCTTAATTATCTCACTATTACTCGACCGGATATTTCCTATGCAGTCAGTATAGTAAGTCAGTTAATGGGATGTCCTAGAGTACCACATTGGGAGGCAGTTACTCGTATTCTGTGATATCTCAAACGAGCTCCTGGACTTGGACTGTTATATCGAGCTAATGGACATCTTAGAGTGGAAGGTTTCTCAGATGCTGATTGGGCTGGCTCTCCTTCTGATCGGAGATCAACCACTGGTTATTGTACTTTCCTAGGAGGTAATGTTGTCTCATGGAAAAGTAAGAAACAACCCGCGGTAGCAAGATCCAGTGCTGAGGCTGAGTATAGGCAATGGCACATACGACGAGTGAGTTGACTTGACTACTACACTTCCTCCAGGAAATTGGGTTTCCAGTTCAACTTCCTTTACAGTTGTTCTGTGACAACCAGGCAGCTATCCATATCGCTGCCAATCCTGTGTTTCATGAGAGAACCAAGCATATTGAGGTTGACTGTCACTTTATTCAGGACGAGATAGTAGCTGGGGAGATTACAACTCTATTTGTGAAATCTGAAGATCAGCTTGCAGATATGTTTACCAAAATATTGAGTCGTACGCGTCTTACAGCTATTTGTTTCAAGCTTGGATTATATGATATATATAGTCCAGCTTGAGGGGGAGTTTTAAGAATAATAGAGTAGTATGTGTAAATTGTTAATATAAGAGGATGTATGTGTTATTATTATTATTGTATGTTAACTATAAATACAAGTTATGTATGAGAGCTAGGTTAAGTTCTTAACCTTACCTCTCACTGTTTCTCCCAAAATATTGTCTCTAATATCATTATGTTAATCTTCCAAACTTAACAGATGGAAATGCCTTCAGTCAACAGGGAAGCTACTAAAACTTAGTGCTAGGTCCTGCTTCCAAGGGAGATTAGGTAAGTGTGGAGTTTAGTGCTAAAGCGATGAGAGTTTTGATGGGGTATCTTGATGGCCTATTGCCTCGAAAACAGTTAATATGCATTTACTTTTATAGTTACTGACTTTTTTGGTTCCCTCAGTGTTGGTCTAATTCATTAAAATCTGGAAACAAGTAAGTACAATACCTTGAAGAAAATAGATGGGGATTCCTATTACTCTTGAATTGTGTTTTCTCAGAGATAAAATACAATAAATATGTAAAAGAAAAAATCATGGTTCATCTCTGGTTGGACATCCAAATGATTTTGATGCACCTTGCCTTATTTCTCTTTCTCCCAAAAAGCCCCAAAAATATTCCTTTGTGCAATTAGAGCATCATAGTCTTGGAGCATAAAGCGATGAGTTTGGATCTGAATAAAAAATAACACTCTTTTTGAAGGACACATGATGTTGGCCCTAGTTTCGATTTTAATATGGATATTCCTGTCTGCATGAACAGCTTGTTGGATGTGAGGTAACATCAGTGTCCGCTATGACCTCTCATGTAGATTCAACTTTGCCTCCGCCAGATAACATCTCTGCAGTTTTGTAAGTTTCAGAAGCTTGAAGTTGATTGTCTGACTATTCTTGTTTATAGAATTTATGCTGAAGTTTGAATTTGGAATTTCCTTGTCTCTTTAGTCAACTAGAGAATGGTTGTTCTGGAGTCTTTGCGATGGTGGTAAACTCAAGAGCACCCAAGGCATGTGATTTAGTGACTTTCACTTCAAAAAACTTCTTCATTGGATCATCCTACTTTAATCACTTATGTTGCTTGGTAAATTTAGATACTTTGGCGTTTCGTTGGCCTTAACGGTACGCTACAAATTGAGCGTGGACACAAAGATGGAAGACATGGATACTCGGTATTAAAAGACAACTCTTGTTCATGGAATTTATGTGACAATCCTTAACTAATAATTGTAGATTTCCCAAGTTCCTGATTTGCTTGAGAACTTGTTACTTTAGGAACAAAATTTCCTTCCGATTTAATCTGCAAGAAATAACAATCTTCTGTTTATCTCATGATGCTATCACAGGCTTCCCTTTATGCTGCTGATGGCCAAAGCAGGAGCTTCTTCTACCAATTCAGTGGGGTGACTGAAGAATTAAAAACTTTTCTACATGATATTTCACAAGCCACCCTTAAGGTAGTATAAAATTTGAAGCTTTGACAAATTTTCATTTATTTATCTGCTGTTTTCATCTCCCAGCCATATCGTGTAGGAAGTGGTTTTGGGGTGTCTATTTTGTAAATGATAGAGACTCCTATATCAAATATTCAACAATTTAGACAACTTTAGGTAGCTTGACTGACTATAAAATGGTCCATATATTGTTTATTGTTACTCACCCCATCTTATCCCATAAACTTACTTCTATATGATGCTACCTTGCTGAGACACTTATTGCAGGACTATCATGTTCACCCAGTATTGTGGAATTTTTCTTTTATATCATGTTTAACCCTGTGACCAAATCATTTATTGGATTATTTGGTGTACTAGCTTCCATTCACTTAATTCAGTTCTGGAACTTGATGTTATTGGTCTCCTAAAGTTTTAAAAAAAAAGCCAAAATTTTTTTTGAAGAAACTAAAATTTTTACCCAGCTGTGTTTAGGGCACACTGCATCTCTTATGGTGGAACTTACTGACTTTTGTTATTGACTTATGTCCACTGATCCTCTTTATTTATTGTGTGCAGAAGGATGGTAGCTATGAAGCCGAACCACGTTGCTCTTTTCTAGAAGGCGTGCGTGATGTTGCTGTTCTAGAGGCAATGCTCAAATCTGGTATGAGACAAGGAGCCCTGGTCCGCGTGCAAAAATTCTAGCTTCATGTTGAGGATTCATTTGATATGGTTGGCGCATTGTGTCAATAAAGATACTGAAATGAATGGAAGAAGACTAAGAGAGTTCAGCGTACTTTTTACTTTGAATTCTTCTATGATCATTCCCTTAGGGTTTTCGTGATTTTTGAATTTAAGTTGGCACACCCTCCTTCAATTCACTTATTTTATTTGGGAAGTTACTGATATTTTTTCAACAATTTCTCAGTGATATTTACAATTTCGTTGATTCGTTTATCTGATTGCCTAAGTTATAGGCGAATCTTTATTTTTCCATCTATCGTTTTGAACAGCTCGGACATGTCATACGCAGAGCACATTTGATATTTGCCGAACAATTTTAGGGACTTGGTTTGGTACAAACCATTCTCTTCTATCGTTTTCCCGAACACCTTAGTGAACTCGGCTTGGTACAAGTAGAACTCTTTCCTTGCTTAGCTGAACAAATTGGTGAGCTCGGTCATAAAGAGAACCGAACTTTTTCTATCATTGCCGAACCTTTAATTAGCTCGGCTTGGTTAAAAGACTTAATAGAGAATTATTCATCATGTGTCTTATCTTGTAAACATTCAGTGAACACATTTAATGTCATATCACGTATAATCACGAGGTTTAACCCCATCAATTACACTAATCATACTTGATCATTTCAACTTTTTTGCATGGTGATTGATGACAGAGTCTCTTTCAAACCAACCACTTGAGCTAGAAGAAGACAAGATGGTGAGAGTCGTGCGTGGATAGGAAGAAATTACATGACTCTTTCACATACCAACAACCACACCTAACATCAATTCTCTCTCATTATTTTCTCAACTGTTCTTTGAAGGACTTGGGACATATGGGTTTGCATTTTCCACCAGAACATGAACAAAATTTATGAGAGATAAATACATCACGTTATTGATTGAGTCTAGTTGTTGATTTTGGTCCCATGAAAGCAACCAATCTTGAAAAGCACTGGACGTTTAAATCCTTACCATAAGAAATCGATTACCCCTATCCCAACTTTTGCATAGCTGTTCTTAAATTTTGTATGCGTGTAATCATTTATAAATTATATGTATTAGTCAAACTGATACTTAAAATTACAACTGAGAAGCATTAAACCACTGAAGTCTTCTCATTTGGGTTGTTTTGTTAGATTAGTTGTATCCTTTGGTATCATTTTTTTTAAAGTATTTTTTAAGCGCAAAAAAAAAAAAAAATTTCTCGGAAAAAAGAAAAGCATATTTAATTAAAATTATACAAAAGTGATCTAAATACATCTTAGTATATAAATGATACACTCATATTCATGGATATGTGTGACTATGTGATCTATATATGTGACTATGTGAGGAGAAGGGAGCAAGCTCGGATAAGAAAAAATTAAAAAATATATAATAAAAATAAGTGCTACTTAAAAAGCACAAAAAAAGGAATTATTTGAAAAAAAAAAATACATAACGAAATTGTTCCTAACCTTTGTCTAGATTTTTCTCTCAAATTATAAGGAGGCGAGAATTGAGGGGCAAAAAAGGCAAGAAAAAAATAGTTGTTGGCAGTTTGATGGCCCAATCAAGCAAATTGCAATTTCATAGAATTTCTTGGTCCCAATGCTGTGCGAAATACAAAATATTGGTCATTGGTCCCTTCTTAACTTGCTTCGGTAGTGAAAGAGACTATGTTGGCAAGAATAATGTTATATAAATTTAAAAATTAAATTTAATAATCAGAACCTCTGGGTCTCAGTTTTTATTGAAACTTACTACTTATTTAATGGTTGTGATTATTAAATTTAATTTTTAAATTCATGTAGCATTACTCATGTTGGCAGTATGGGACATCGGAGAATATAGCATTAAAAACCAACCTAACAAGGTTGTCATCTAACCATGCAAAGAGGTTACNTCATGTAGCATTACTCATGTTGGCAGTATGGGACATCGGAGAATATAGCATTAAAAACCAACCTAACAAGGTTGTCATCCAACCATGCAAAGAGGTTACGGTATAAAGTTCCCCTTCACATATATATCTAATGCAGAACTTGGGGCATCTCCAATGTTGATTTAAACTCAAGCTCAAATTTGAGTAAAAAATTTAGTTAAAAACTTGATTTGATATAGACTTTTGTAACAAACAAACTCAAATCTAAAGTAGAACAAACTCAAATTTAAAGTATGACAAATTCAAATTTTAAAGAAGGTGAAATATGATCATTAGATTTTTTAAAAGAGTAAAATCTGACCATTTTGAATAAATATATGAGTCTGTTTTGATTTGAGTAAAAAATTGAGTCTCTCTTCGTTTGGTATATGTTTGAGACAAAGATTGAAACTTTTTTTTAATATATTTTTACTTAAATTTAAATTTGAGTAAGAGTTTAAATAAGGAATGGAGACGGTCTTATAAAAAGCAATAGAAGTGAGATACATCCAATCACTAAATTGGAGAAGGCAAATCATAAAGTAAAAATCTTATATGCCGTTTGGTAATGTGTTTTTTTTTTTTTGAAGTTTTGACTAACAAAAATAAATGAGTGCATATTACACTTTCAGCCTCAACTATAGTTTCCGTCTCACATTCCCACCTCAATTATAATGTTTTTCAATTGTACCTTCAATTATAGTTATTAGTTTTGTATTGAACTTACGTGATTTTGCTTTATTTTTGTCTCGTCTCTTGGACATTTTTTGTCCAGATGATAGCAAACATTGAAAAACCAACTCAAGTTATTGGGAGAAAATGCGAGAAATTCAATAGTTCAAGGGGCAAAATGCGTTCAAAGGCATAGTTGAGAGAGTTAACGTACAATTAACTCAAAATATTTTACCAAAAAAAAGACAAAAACATCTTTGAGTCCTATTATATAAAATTAATCTATACACATCTTTACGAAAAAAAAAATACATTTTTATGCAACTGAGCACAAATATAAGTTTTATTAGTTTGTGCAATAAATATCAAATTTACGAATAGTAAAAAAATTGAATATAACAAACATAAGACCAATAAGATGATTTGATATTTCACTATCAACCTCTTAACCTAAAAAAAATAATCTTTCTCGATAAAATCAGTTGATTAAGGTAAAGTTCTACCCACAAATTACAAGTAACAATATTCTATTGTATTTTGCATTGGCTTGTCAGTTTAGAATTGTATTAATCAATTCCAGGGTAAAGCTCGATAGTCAAATGAAACTTCCAGTAGATTTAAGAACTCTGTTTTATTATCCTTGAAAGCCACTGCAATCAACAATATTCTATTGTATTTTGCATTGGCTTGTCAGTTTAGAATTGTATTCATCAATTCCAGGGTAAAGCTCGATAGTCAAATGAAACTTCCAGTAGATTTAAGAACTCTGTTTTATTATCCTTGAAAGCCACTGCAATCAATAATATTAGACTAAGGTTAGTTTATGAAATAGAAATACTTTGTTAATTTCATTGTAGTTGTATTGCATAAAATATTAGGTACAATATTCATCAGATATTCAAGGGTATGCCTCGAATACACATCATACACATATGCTTCTGATATTAAAGTGCATCTTTAGGACAAAACAATGCATTTTAGTCTTTTGTCTTTTCATCTCAAATTTACATATACTATAACAAATAAAGAAAAATGCATACACCTTTGAAGACACATAAATATTTCTTAAATATTTTCTACTATCATACGTTAAAAGAGCATATAGTAAGACCATAAAATTTTGTGAATATGAGATCCTGTTTGGTTTGCGTCTCAAAAAATAGTATCCGAAAACTATGTTTAAAAAAAAAAATTAGAAAACTGTTTTTGTGTCGCAGAACTTTTTTGGTTATATGATTCTAAATACAATTATGAAATAAAAAACAGTAAAACTTGTTTGGATAATAACTCAAAAAATAATTAAAACATAAATATGGTGGTGGTGGTGAAAGAAATGTAGTCAAGGTGCAAGTGTGGTGTAAATGTGGTAGTGAAAGTGGTGATGGAAGTGTGGTGGTGGAATTGTGATAGTGGTGGTGTGGTTGACATCGTGGTGATAGTGTGGGAGTGTGGTGGTGGTGTTGGTGGAAGAATGGTGGTGGGTGATGAATAGTGGTGGAAGTGTGGTGGTGTGGTGGACATAGTGGTGATATTTTCTAAATTTCAGAAGTGTTGTTTCAAAAAACATAAAAAATAGAGGTTGTTTGATAATAAAGCTTAAAACTAAATACTTTAAACACTTAATGAATTAAACTCATTTGATAACCTAAAACTCATACAACTTAATATTTTAAACACTTATAAATATGCTAAAATTTTAAGCACTTCACCACTATTATGTTATCGCCATCATCATTTGTGTTGTCACCACCACAACTACCATGGTGCCATCATCGTTGCTATTGCCACCACCACCACCACTGTCGCAGCCACTACTACCACCATTATGCCACCACCACCACCATTGTGTTGTTGTCATCACTATCATCGTGATGGTGGTGGCAAGAATAAAATAGTAGCGAATAGATAGTTAAAAAGAAAGGAAAGATAGAATGTCAAATATTATACTTCGATTAAAAATACTCCAACTAAAAATAGAATGTCAAATATTTAAAATAGTACAACCAAAATTCATGTTCTATTACATCATTTATTAAAATAAAATTAAAAATAAAAATTTTTTTTTGTTAGAAAATCATAATTAACATTATTGATGTCAAAATTTGAATGACCTCCATGTTAGTTTGTTAAAATTTGATCACCTGAAAAAGAAGTCAGAGATCGGAGGAGAGCTCTGGATAAGTTTACTCCCCGATGCCTAAGTTAGTAAGTGACTTAATTGCATGAATTGTGTTTAGAAGCTAATAATGACATACCTGGAGCATTTTGGATTAAATGAACTTTTTATGTTGGGTCAATTTTTTCATCATCAAGTACAATCATATATGTAATAAGTCTAATTAACACATTTACATGTTTTATTATATCATCCATTGACAGAAAATCCAAACAAAATCTCAATTTTTTGAGAAAAAATAGTAATAAGTATAAATATAACAAAGAACTCAATTCAACACTCATTTTCATACAATTATATTATCTATTGAAATAAAATTTAAAAAATTAAATAAGTGATCAAACTATAATAGACACAATATCTTCTATCTTTAGTTAGGGTAATTTAGTCATTTAACAGATTTCGTTAGTTTTGTAATTAATGAGAGATCTAAGTATAATATTTTAAACTTAAAATGTCTAAGTGTTACACTCCTACAAATTTTAGATGGTTTAGGTATAATTTATTTATAGATATATTAACGAACATTGGAGGCAGAGGTTTAGGTATTACACACGTACAAATTTCAATAAGTCTGTGTATAATATTTTAAATATCAGATAGTCTAAATAATTAAGTGACAAACCTTAACAGGTAATACATTTCAAAACGATTTGCACAATGAAAACCAAAATTTTATGTCCATTTATTATTCCACACATACTTCTTCTAGTTACGTTGGACTAAGCCATATATATGTATTATTCCCCACTCTCCAGTTTAGCCCCTGCGTTTTTTCTTTATTCCATTTCTCATTCAAACAAGTCCACTGTCGTAGTTATTCCACTGTTTGGTGCAACTGAAACCAACTCTGCTTTCATCAGTACCCAAGGTAAGTCGTCAGTTCCTCACCTTCCTCTTCCTCCTCTCTCTCTCTCTCTCTCTCTCTCAGACACACACGCACCCAACTGGGAGTATTTTCACTGCATGTAAGGATAACAACGCGTTGAGGTTTCTATCTAGCCTTGAACTTCTAAGTTTGATTTTAACTTTGAGCTTCCACTGTCTTCAGTTGTTTACATATTGAAAGCTTTTGTTGCATCTAGATCTGTATTTTTTTTTTTTACTCTGCAGTGAGTGTTTTTTCAGTGTCTCCGTGTTTTTTCTCTCGAATGAATTGTTCATTCAATAAGTCACATAGTGGTTTCTGAGAAAACTGTACTTCTGTCTTGATTTTCATTGGCCTTCGTTGAGCTGAGTTTTGCAGTTATTGAATGCATTAAGAACAGAAAATTGTTGACCCGCTATTCCTAAAAATGTTTGTAGTACTTTTTCTTGCTCTAAAACTACCAAATATGCTTTGTTTTTGCTATTTAAGGCCATGAAAGTTTATTTACTCACTTCCAAAACACTGATCAAAGAGTGACCAAAGCAGAAAATTTGTTAGCCATTTCTGAATTACTTTTCTTGGTACAAACTAAGTCTTGAATTTTGTGTTTGCTCTCAAAAGGCAAAAACTATATGCATTTTCTTGTCTTTCCAAATCACTGATCAAACAGTAAGACCAAAATTGTATTTCCTTCAATTTCCCCTTGTTTTCTCTGCAACCAAACAGAGGAAGAGCTGTAATTACTGCTTGGACTTATTCTTTCATTTTACTATTAGGGGTGTTCAAGTTTTTGATTGACCGTAATTTTCTATCCTATCCTACCCTATTGAACGACTATCCTCAAAAATCGGGTAGGAATACGGAAGAATTTTTGGTCTCCGATTAAATCGGGTAGGAATGCGGAATACCTATCAATTTCCGCATACCTATCCTACCCTACCAGCAAAAAATATATTTAACTTTTTTATATTTTTTTTTAGTAATTATAAGAGTATTTGTGTGATATAATTTATATTATAACATTGTTATTATTGTGGATCTTTGAGTTGTGAAAACATGGACTTGTTTTTTGTGTAGGTTTACATGATTTGTGATGAACTAGTGATCTATTAGAGCAGTTATGATTTTAATGTACTTCATATTGTTTAAACTTATAATAATTATTGTTGTATTTGTGTAACAATTATGATGGATTGATGTTCATGTTTTCTTATGTTTTATTGTAATTATTGTTGTAGTTGTTTTAGGTGTTAGTGTTATTGATTTATTGTGTTATTAAATTGGTGCATGTTATTTAATTGAATTGTTAAAATGATCCAAAAATTAATAACTCCAAAAGTGTTTACCCGATTTCCTACCACACCTGATCGGGTAGGGTAGGCCAAGAAAAAAATTCTTCCGCAAAATATCAGGTAGGAAAACGAAAAACTATATTTCCTATCCGTAGGGTAGGGTAAACACCCCTAATTACTATGAATTTTGCAGGTTCTTGTGCTTTTGACTGAATATATTTTACAAGGGTGCCTAATGTTACTTTGCCCAAAGCTATATATGCAAACTAATGAAGTTCTTTCCCCTTGGGTTGACGTCTATGTTCGCCATTTTAACTTCATATCGTCCTAGTATATGTATTCCTCTGCTCCCATGTGTTTGTGTTAGCAACTTCTTTGATAAATTTTAATTTACAAACTTTGTGTTTAATCCATTCAAAACATCAGAGTATCTCCATAAAACACCAGTAAGTTTCTGTTTTGCATATATTTAAAAGTTTGATTTGCTTTCACAGAAAACCTAACTTAAATTGGTTTCTTTGCCTATGCTTCAGATAAGATTCTACTTCCAAATAGTGATTTCAAGTCTAGTTGCAGCAAAAAAGGCCTGAAAGTAAAGGGGCTTCTTTTTTTTTTTGTTATTTCGACCTTTTCATCTTCACAGCTCTATCGGAAATTGATGCATATAAAGTGGGAAGAGTGTTGTAACTAATCCATCTTGTTTTGCAGCATTGATTCCTCAGTAGTGTTTGAGTGTTAGAAACAAATCGAGCCATTCCATTTACTTTGGTTAGTGCAAACTACAAAATGGCGCGTCCTCCACAACCGGAAGAGTTTGCTCTGAAGGAGACTGCCCCAAAAATTGCCGGGTCAGGGGTGATCACTGGTGGTGATAAGCTTACGTGCACATATGACCTCGTTGAGCAGATGGAATACCTTTATGTCCGTGTTGTTAAAGCAAGGGATTTACCGGCGAAGGACGTTACAGGTAGTTGTGATCCATATGTTGAAGTGAAGCTAGGAAACTACAAGGGAGTTACTCGGCATTTTGAAAAGAAGTCGAATCCTGAATGGAATCATGTTTTCGCTTTCTCCCAGGATCGACTTCAAGCTTCCTTTATTGAAGTTGTGATAAAGGATAAGGACGTTGTCTTAGATGATTTCATTGGCAAGATTTCTTTTGGCCTTGTTGATGTCCCGAGACGAGTCCCACCGGATAGCCCATTGGCACCACAGTGGTACAGATTGGAAGACAAAAAGGGGGATAAGATCAAAAAAGGAGAAATCATGCTTGCTGTTTGGAAAGGAACCCAAGCCGATGAGGCATTTCCTGATGCATGGCATTCAGACGCTGCAGCAGTTAGTACTGAGGGCATTACAAGAATTCGAGGGAAAGTATACATATCCCCAAGGCTTTGGTATGTTAGGGTCAATGTAATCGAATGTCAGGATCTGATTCCTAGTGATAAGAACAAAGTCCCAGAAGTTTGTGTGAAGGTTATACTTGGCAATCAGGCAGTGAAAACTAAACTGTTGAAGAGTGTCAATCCAATGTGGAATGAGGATTTGGTTTTTGTTGCTGCCGAACCATTTGAGGAGCCCCTGGTCATAACTGTGGAGGATAGATCCAACAAAGATGAGGTCTTGGGGAAGTGTGTGATTGCATTACCAATTGCACACAGGAGGTTTGACAATAAGGCTGTGCCATCTCGGTGGCATAATCTCGAGAAACATATTCTTGCTGAAGGGGAAAAGAAGGAGATTAAATTTGCTAGTAGGATTCATCTGAGGATCTGTTTGGATGGAGGGTATCATGTATTGGAAGAGTCTACACACTACAGTAGTGATCTTAGGCCAACTGCAAAGCAGTTGTGGAAGTCCAGCATTGGGCTTCTGGAGTTGGGGATTATTAGCGCCACTGGGTTATCTCCAATGAAGTCAAAAGAAGGCCGGGGAACAACAGACGCCTATTGCGTAGCAAAATATGGGCCAAAATGGGTTCGAACGAGGACAATTATCGACAGCTTCTCTCCAAAATGGAACGAGCAGTACACGTGGGAGGTTTTTGATCCATGTACTGTGATCACAGTAGGGGTGTTTGATAATGGTCACCTACAAGGAGGGGGAAACGATTCACGAATTGGAAAGGTGAGGATTCGGCTATCCACGATTGAAACTGAACGAGTTTACACACACTCCTATCCTCTAATTGTCTTGCAACCTTCAGGAGTGAAGAAAATGGGTGAAGTTCATTTAGCTGTGAGGTTCTCATGCTCATCTTATTTTAACATGGTGAACAAGTATTCGCAACCATTGTTACCAAAAATGCATTATGTCCATCCATTGTCCGTAATTCAGCAGGATACATTGAGGCACCAAGCAACTCAGATAGTGTCAATGAGGCTTAGTCGTGCCGAACCACCATTAAAGAAGGTGGTGGTGGAGTATATGCTGGACGTGGGTTCCCATATGTGGAGTGTGAGGAGGAGCAAAGCTAATTTCTTCAGAGTTTTGGATGTTTTTAGTGGTGTAATTGCAGTAGGAAAATGGTTTAATCAGATTTGCCACTGGAAAAATCCAATTACAACCATTTTAATTCACATACTCTGCGCGATATTAGTCCTTTATCCAGAATTGATACTGCCCACAATATTTCTCTACCTCTTCTTTATTTCAATTTGGCGCTACAGACGAAAACCAAGACACCCTCCTCACATGGATATCCGGTTGTCTTATGCTGATGCAGTTGGTCCTGATGAACTGGATGAAGAGTTTGATACATTTCCGACTTCCAGGGGATCGGATAAAGTGAGGATGAGATATGATCGCCTGAGGAGTATAGGAGGGAGGATTCAGATGGTGATCGGAGACTTGGCAACTCAAGGGGAGAGGTTTCAGTCTTTGCTGAGTTGGAGAGACCCGAGGGCATCGGCTTTATTTGCTACATTCTGTTTAATTGCTGCCCTTGTGCTGTATGTCACGCCATTTCAAGTGGTGGCCCTGCTCGGTGGCTTTTACCTGTTGAGACATCCTAAATTCCGCAATAAGCTTCCTTCGCCGCCTGCTAACTTCTTCAGGAGGTTGCCTTCAAGAACAGACTGTATGTTATAGGCACCATTACAGACCTCAATTGCTTATTGTGCAGAAATGGCAGCAAGCAAGAAGTTCCAACATGTAGACTGATAATTTCTATGAAATTGCAGCTTGTTTATTGTAATCAAGGGTTGTTAATTTGAATTGAAGTTGTCTGTGCAGCTTTAACCTCAAATTTAAAGTTCTTCTTTGCACTTGTGGCTTACTTTAGCCACATTGAAACAAATCTTCCTTACTCTGTTAGAATTACACAGAAGTGCTGGCAAAGAGAAATCTCAAAAAGCATTTTTCTGAGCATTATCTACAAAGAGTCGTACCATTTCTTTCCTGTCAGTAGATAGTGGTGGTGACAAATGACCGGTGCCGACCCAACAGTAAGGCTGAAACAACTTGGGTTTTGTCCCAAATTTTTAGGCACTATAAGTAGCCCATCTGAAAAAACTGGATTTATAAAAACTTTAAGCCCAACAAAAAAAAAA